CCCATAGACAGTAAGTACCTTGTACTTTATCTTAAAAATAATGGTCAGCTCTTGAAAAGGTTTAAACACGGAAGCGAGGTGACCAGAATTGATTTTTTTTAAAAAGATCAGATAAACTGACGTCAGCTAACTCCAGATACAGGAAGCAATGATAGAAATCCCGGTTAGGGAGAAAGATGTCCTGAATGCTCAGGTTTCGTCTCCGACATCATTTTCCTTTTACTTGGCTTTTTGCTCACTACGCTGGCTGCTACTTTTCTGTCTCCTGCGCAGTAACTTCTGACCTGCCCTATATCTCAGTGTGGATGTCTTTCAGGGCTGAGTCCTCAGATATGTTCTCTGTTCACACTCATTATCCAGTGACCTCATTCAACCTATTGGTTTTAAATATCATCTGGACATTGACAAGCCCCAGATTTATGTCACTGCCAGGATTCTCCTCTGACTTCCAGACTCATATATTCAACTGCCTGTTTAAGAAGTATTTTAAATGTAGCATTTATAACACCAAACTCTTGAGCCTCCCTCCAGATATGCTAAACCAAGTTCGCCCCAGATCAGTAATGGCAAGCCCATCCTTCACGTTGCATACAAGTTTTGGAATCATCTCTAATGCTTTTCTTTCTCTCATACTCTGTATCCAATCCATGGGGAACTCCTTTTGACTCTGCCTTCCAAAGATATCCAGATTCTGGACCTTTGCTACAATTTCCAATGCTCTCTATCTGGCCCATGCCACAGTCATCTTGAATCTAGGTTATTATAAAAGTTATATTGTAATAGCCTAGATTATTGGAACAGACTCTTGTTATAATAGATCATTGTAACAGATCTCCTTGTTTCTACTCTGGTTCCCTATATGTTTACATTCCACGCAGTGGGTAGAGTTTATCTTTGAAAATATTAGGTCATGTTACCATGAATAAACACCTTCAATAGCTTTCCATCTCACGCACAGTAAAGGTCAAAATCGTTACCATGGCCTGTAACACACTTGGTACTCTTCCCCCATGTCTCACACTTCTTTGACCTGAGCTATTATGCCTCTTCCCGTTGCCACTCTGCTCAGATACCCAGCCTAATTGTTCCTTGGATACCGCAGCAGGCTCCCATCACACGGCCTTGGCATCCCACTCTTCCCTTGCCCTGGACGTTCTCCTCCCAGATCTCCAGAATGTCTGTTCCCTTTTCTTCAGGTGTCTTCTTAAAGGTGATTTTATCACAGAGACCTTCTCTGAACACCTTACACAAAAAAGCAACTTTCCCTCCATCCCTATCTGAGCCTCTTTTGCTTTATTTCTCTTAACGACACTTGTCACCACCTCCATGGCACTCAGCCCTCTATATATAATTTTCTGTGCTTTTTTCCCCCCACCTCCCTCACTGGATCTGCAGGCTTCACAGGAGCAGAAACTGTATCTGGCAGGCTCAGTACTGATTCTCCACCACCTAGAACATGTCCACGCCCATGGGGTATACTCAGTAAAAAGATGCCGAATGGAGGGAGGGGTGTGGAAGAGAGAAAATGGAGTGAGTTGGTGAACTTGATCTATCTGCGTGGCAGAATGGTTAGATGGTGGTGATTCATTGAGTACTGAGCTGGAGAAGGGAGAGGAAAAAGCCAGCAATCTAGGAGGCTGTGCGAGTGTGGGGCCCTACTGAGTTGAAGGCACAGCACTCCCTGAATGAGAGAAGATGGGAGGAGGCCTGGGTTAAAAACAGAGGCAGAGAAGGATGCATTCAATTTTGAAAAAGCTGAGATCCGGGTAACTGGGAGACATTCAACTGGCAAAATCCCGGAGGTAATTGACTCTGGACCAGTGAATGGGATTTGTGCTTAGTGTGTGTTTCTGTCAGTTACCAAACTAGTGGGAAGGAGATGGAGAAAGAATACCTTCTGAGCTATTTTCTAGGGGGTACCTGAATCCTTTTCATCCCTAAGGTGAACTTGCTGAAACAGCCGCTCCTTGGGGAGCCTCTCAGCAAAGCCTCATTCCCAAGCCTCCGGGAGTCTCACTGTCTGCACGCGACCATTTTTCAGCCTGACTCCGGGGGTGCGTGTTTGCCATTCAGAACCTACTATATTTTACTGCACTTCCTGACATTGTTACACAACATTTATTGAAAGCACATTTGATGGTAATGAAGTTTCTATTAACTATGATTAAATCTCATAAAGCACCTGAAGATAATTTAAGATGTGCAGAAGCAGAAAATGAAACATTCGGTTTAGTACATTAGGAAATGTAATTGATTAAATTATCTCATTTACAATAAGTGCTTTCATGAGCGATGCCGAGCACAGATTTCCCCCAGTTTGTCATTATGATTTGCCAACAGATACCTTCAGACTTCACTTTCTTTTTACACCTCCCCACGACTCAGAGCCGGTTCCTCAGCCCGCCTCACACGAATCTGTGCGGGAGGCTCTGAGAGATGGGTTCCACCCGCCCTGCCGTGCAGAGGCTCCCATGCATGGCTATATATAGGGAAACGTTGTTTCTCAATTATCTTCATAATTGACTTTGATTTTGCATCAGTGATGATTCATGGAGTCTTCAAGGAAGCCCCCCTTTCACTAACAAAATTGCAGCCGGGCTCTGTATGATGCACTCCTACCCATGCAGCCTCCAGAACCCTGATCGGATGCCTCTGGGAGCCTTCTGCAATCACATTGATTCTGTTAAGGTTTTATTTTTAGAAAATCACAAATTAAAACAGTTTAAGCGAGTCTGAGGCAGTATCCACCAATTAAGCACGGTGTGCAGGAGTGAGAACCCCAAGCAAAAACTCATTCAGGAAGTCCCCGAGGACCAGAAATAGCTACTGGGGGCTTTACGGCTGGATGTACAGATGTAACCAAATTAGAACAGCACTGGACTCACAAACTAAGCGTGAAATTAATTTTTAAAAAACACACATGCAGGATTCCCTGGTGGCTCAGTGGTGAAGAAGCCACCGGCCAGTGCAGGAGCCATAGGTTCGATCCCCGGTCTGGGAAGATCCCATATGCTGCGGAGCAACTCAGTTCCGTGCACCACGATTGGTGAGTCTGTGCGCTAAAGTCCGCGAGCCGCAACGACGAAGCCTTTTCGCCGTACAGGCCTTGCTCCACAACAAGAGAAGCCACCGCAACGAGAAGCCCGCTCACGGCAACTAGAAAGTAGTCCCCGCTCATGGGCAACTGGAGGAGACCCAGCACAGCCAAGAAATAAATAAAATAAAAATATCTTTAAAAACATACACACATTTTGGCTGCCACATGGCTACCCATAATTTTGCTTGTGCTACACACGGGGACCAGGGGATGGGGCGGGGGGGGGGGCTGTATGATCAGGAGGTACTCGGGCGGGGGGTGGCGGGGACCCCACTTACTCCAGGGAAACCCTGGGGTCTTGAACAAATGGACACTCATCGACCTGCTCCTTCTCCCTCTCTCCGCATGTGCACACAGGCATACACACACACACACACACACACAACACACAACCAGGTTTCCCCATCGTCTATCTTCCTATGGAGTTCCAAATCCATCATGCATGACTTGAAAGCTGCTGCCTAACCCCCAATGATGACTTTATGGGCAGCAGACGGCAGGGAAAACAAATTAAGAAAGCTTGTTTCTGTTGTTCGGGAAGTTCTCAGACTCTGGAAGTCAAGGCATCCTTCTATCTCAAGCCTGCCTGAAGCAACATCTGAAGTAGGAACATCACAGCTTTGCTGTATCTTTTTCTCTCATGCCTCCGGACCCTTGTTCCCCAGATACCAATTTCTATCTTCACAGGGTCTTAATTCTTTCAAAGAAGGTGGCTAATAAAAGCTGTTAAGTCTCCCAAGCTATTTTAATTTTAATACCCTAGGATTTAAAAGATCAAAAGCCATTCGGTTTAGACTAAAATGGGAGATACTAGTCAAGAATGTCTTTCACAAGCTTTACAAACCAAATTCTCCTATTGCTTAGAGCTACATGGCTGAGGCCCTACCATGCGGACTTTGGCGTCTATATGACACCCTGACATACTTTACATATTTCTGAGAGTCACTGGGGGAACATATTAAAATGTAGATTCTCCAGAGCTCTCCCTGCCCCTGTACCGGGGATTCAGATTAATTTGTTCTATTTTTTTTGCAGGGTCATATTTAACCAGCTTCCACCATATCCCAAGATCCTGATGCATGCGGTTGCTTATCTAAGTTTTGAGAATATTTTTCTAAGACACTGGTTCTCAATCCAAGCTTCACACTGAAATCCCCTAAGGAGCTTTTAAAACTGAGGATTCCTGGGTTCTAAGTCTCTTCTTCTCATGTGATTTCTCTGGAGTAACAGCCCAGGAACTGGAATTTATAAAAGGCTTCCAGGTGGCCCCCAAGTTCAGCCAGGTCTGAGCACCATGAGGCTGAAGGTGGAGCTGCCAATCATCTGAGCTGGGCTTCTTTCCCCAAATCTGGTGGATGCCCAAGAAGAAGGGAAGGCAAAGGCCTCGCCAGGAAGCAAGCCAGTAGACAGAGAGCTCCAGGCAGCATCCACCCCCATTAGGTTCAATTCCTGGCCATTTTCACTGTGGCTCTTAATCTAATCAGTTGCCATGGATTTCAGGGTTCATCTCTCAGGCGCCCTCTCCCACTCCTAGATGGAAAGTTCTGTAATCAGGCTACTGCCCAAGGTTGCTCTTGTGAAAGCCTATACTGACAAATATTTATAAATTTTAATGAGATAAATCTCAGAAATAAGAGTCCTAGATGACATCTGTAGAGAAATGGACTGCTACTGGCGGACAGAATCAAAGCAGAGATTTAATCTGAAGGAGGGGAGGGGCGTGCATATTTCTTTTCCATTTTAACCTCTGATATGTGACTCCAAACCCAACAAGAAGAAACCTCCCCCCAAGAGCCCTGGATCTTTCCTAGGAACTGCAATTCCATTTGGCTCCTAAACAAATATGACAGTAAAGCAGCAAATATGAGAACAAATGATATCCGCAAGAGGAAAAATAACTTACTTTGGGGTTTTATTTCATGAAGAGGTTTTTTATCTAAAAGAAAGAAAGAGAAAAAAAAAAAAGAAAGTTGCATTTAATAAATTCACACGGAGCAGATATATATTCTACATTCCTTCACGTCTACCTCTATAAAGGAAACACTTTCTTTCTGCAGACACTATGGATTATGTTGTTCCTATTTTTCCTTTTCATTCTAATTAAAAAAAAATTTTTCTCTTTGGCAGTATTTTTTCTAGGATGATTGCTTCATTCTTTTAAAGTAAAATTCCCTCAGGCTTACTAGAGTTTTTCTCTGTTGCATTTGCCAGATTCTCATCAGCATGATGAGAGCAGTGAGCTTGCAGCCTGCCCTGTTTTATATCCAGCCAGAAGTCTGCTCAGGTAAGGAATGCTATTTCACTACATATGATGGTGGAAAAATGATCCATTAATAAATATTTAAAGGGATCCTGCATTGGTTTGCAGTTATCATGGCCTGGGTAAATAGTTCCAAACTCTGCTGTTTTGTTTTTTTTTTCCTCCTGTTCTTGTTGGGTATAGATGCAGGATAGTGTGTTGAAGGTTTGTTTTTAAGAAATTATGCTTTTTTGTTTCAGATCTCAATTATCTGTTAAAATGCGGATGATCTTAATGGAAAGGTGTCCTTCTGATCCTGGTATTGAGCAGGGCAGCGGTCAGCTGAGATGGGTACAGAGAAGAAACACTCAATCTTTTCTAAAGTGAGCGAGACATTTTTATCCATTCTTTTCATGTCCCTTCATCCACCATCCTCCTGCCATGTTCCATCACTAAATAATTCTGCAACCATCTTGCAAATCACTTGGAGACATGGTACCTGGGACTCTGCCTTATACCACAGTCCTTCCACTGACCACTGCCCTGCCCTTGGTCCTGTCCCAGGCCAACACGACTCTACCACCAGGCAGAAACCTGGGACGACCCCGCTTCAGACTCTCTGTCAAATTCCAGAGGATCTGCAGGGCGTGCCAGGCCTCTCATTGGTGCCTTCTCGGGTGTCGATGGAACACCATCGGACGGCAAGCACAGGGCTGTTGCTAACATTCAGAGAGTGCCATAAAGGAGCGGACCTTGAAAGGTCACCCTGGGTACGCTCCTTCCCCTGTTAGCCTGAAGCCAAGCCAAGCGGGGTGAGACACTGTCATTCTGGATTATGTTTTGAACGGAATCAAATCTCACACAGTACATCTGAGAACTTCGTAAACATCATCTGGCTGACTGCACCTTAACCCCTCCCAGGCAGACAGGCATAGCGAGGCTCCAAATCCTTCATGGAGTATCTCTTACCCTAACCCGCTTCTGCACTAAAGACTGATTTTGACAGAAAACCCTCGCCGTGTGCATCAGGTACAACTCTTGTGTATTTTGCCATCTGTTTTGTGATGGAAGTAGCTTTTCCAAGTTGTGTGTAAATCATACTTTTGCAAATGGTCCACCATTGTTTTTTTTTTTTTTTTTTTACAGTAAGGGGAAAGGTCACTGACTAAGGGTGATTTCTGGCCAATCTTTCTTTAAAAAGGAATCCTGGATCTTCTCTGGTGGCCCAGCGGTTGGGACTTTACCTCCCAGGGAAGGGGGTTTGGGTTTGATTCCTGGTTAGAGAGCTAAGATCCCACATGCCTCAGGGCCAAAAAACACCCCAAAACATAAAACAGAAACCATACTGTCACAAATTCAATAAAGACTTTAAAAAGGGCCCATTCAAAAAAATCTCGAAAAAAACATCCCCACAAAAGATAATTTGTTCAAATTGATATGATCAGATTCTTACACAGTCAGGTTTCTTTAAGCCCAAAAGCTTGCATTTCTCTGACTGCACAGATTCAATGCCATATTAGTTTTCCTGAGAGCAGGTGGAAACTCCCAAGGTCCAGATGCTAATGCACTCAAGGATTAGAATAAAATGACTTTGGTGGTTTTAACCTGACTTCAGTTTTTGCTTATCGCATGCTATCTGAAAGCATTTGGCATGGGCACAGCCCTGCTGGGAGGCCAAGGCTGAGACATCTGAAAGTGAGGCATTGCTAGGACCACACAGAGAGACATGCAGAACAGCTGTTCGGAGCTCTGGCTGCGCTGAATGGTATTTTCTTCTCTCTAAACCACAGGAATGAAGATTATTCTGGGTAGCAAAAGAAAACTCGATTAAAAACAGGTGAGATATATAACCACTCCTCGGAAAAATACATTGAATATAGCTGTAAAAACAAAAAGAAAAAACAGGGATTCTACCTAGTACAGTTCTGAAAAATGAAGAGAGAGGTTGGGGCTGAAAATTCCAAGGCTAAGGACCCCAGACAGAGGACCACATGGATGCACGGAGCAGAAGAGGAAGGCATTTTGCCCTCTGACCTCCAGCTCTAGAGTTGTCATCGTTGGCAGTGCAATTCGTGTGGACTCTTGGATCAGAAGTCTCAGACTGTCTTCATCTATCTCTGTGACCTCAATGTTCCCCACAGTAAAGTGGGAGCAATAAGGTTGTTAAATGTTGGTTCTGGGGATTGAACAGAACCTGGAAGCCGTGAAGCAAAGGGCTGGCAAACGTTCAGCATTGATAAATGTAGTTGATAAGTAATACTGTAACTTTCACATGTTATGAATATGATCCTCATACTCATTCAGAGGACAAAAATGACCCACATGCTGCTGCATGAACACTAGGCACAGCTCCAGGCCAAAAACTCTAGTGAATTTCAGGGGTAGTTGAATGGGAGTCAAGAAACACGTGCTTAACGACTTTCCTGGTGGTCCAGTGGTTAAGACTCTGCACTCCCAATGCAGGGATCCCAGGTTCAGTGTCCAGTCAGGGAACTCCGATCCAACATGCCCCAATTAAAGATTCTGCATGCTGCAACGAAGACCCTACATGCCACAACTAAGACCCAGCACAGCCAAAAAAAACCCCAAACACAAAAGAAACGTGTGCCGACTCCTGGCCTCTGCTTGCTGGCACCAAAGGCAAGTTGCAACTTTACTCTGATACATAGAAAGAAGGACAGGGATGAGAAGACCTCCATGGGCCCCAGCTTTCACCCCTATAAATCTTTAGAAAAGGCATTCCATAGAAATCCACATAAAATGAATTTCAGAAACAGAGTAACAAGTGTTCAAACGGCTGCTTCTCTATCATTGCTGACAATGCTAAGATCCGGTACGTGTGTTCACCTGCATCTTCTCATGGGAAAGGCTGGAAGTCACTGGTGCCCACGAGGACTTTAGTCCCCCGGTACTGGCATCAAAATTGGGTTCTGCTGTACTTTGTGAAATACCAGTATCTTGTTAGCAAGCTGCTCTCAGAGACCATTTTCCTAGCTTGAAATGTCTGATTAGAGACTGTTCTACTGTGATCTCGAGAGAGGGCTCCCCCATGTGCCCCCAGACCTCACAGTGTTGTGGAAGAACAGCCCACCTCATGGTTCATGTCCTTTCATTCTGTTTGCATAATCATTTTCTCACAAGGCTCAGGGCCACGCAGCTATTGGCCTTGGTCAACCAAATCCTGTTTTAATTTCACCTCTCTCCAAGGCCATGTTCAAATGACCCCTTTAGTAAATTAATCCATGAAAGCCATGGTTCTTCACATGGGCTGCCCATTACAATTATCTGGGAGGTTTTTTTCTGGTTTTTTGTTTTTTAATACCCATGCCTGGGCCATCCTCCAAGAACTTCTAATTAATTGGGATTTGTGTATTTGTGATTATTGAGGGCATCCCCACTTCCTAACAACAAATCCGGGGCTCTGTGTACTCAACTTCAGTTCCTCTCTGCCTCTTTAAGAGGATCTCGGGCAGCTGGAGTGTACAGATGGGTCCAGAAGGATCTTAGAGGCAGAGAAATGTAATTCTGAGCCAGTGGCAGCTGATCTGTTGTTTGGGGAAATCCTACCAGTTTTCATAGGGTCTACATATACATATACACCAAGAGTATCTTCTGCGTAAATGGAAATTGATAATAAGGAATTATAACTCAGTCTTCTAATGATTTTGCTAAAGATGCAAAAAAGTGTTTCTTAATAGAATTTTAAATTGTTATGCTTTCTTTAAAAGTCATTTTTATTATTTATAGTTACTGTAGTTATTGTATCAAAAAAAATAGGTAAGTGCAAAAAAACCCTGCATAATTCCACCACCAAGAGATAACCACCATTATGCTAAATGATATATACAAGTCTAAGCTCTTTTTTCCCTTGTGATATTATATGTATAAGATGATATGCACACATAGATACTTCTACATATATTAGCAGAAAACTATATGAAATTGATTGACAGTAATTGATCATTTTACCTTCAAAGACATGGAACTGTCTTTTATATATTGTTCTGCAGTCTGCTTTTGTTTCAGTGCTGTATTGCAAATATTGCTTCGTGTCTCACCACATGTGTGGTGAGAGTATATGTGTGTAGAGGTGTATATGTATATTTATACATAAGAGAAAAGAAGGGAAGGGGAGAGAGACACACAGAGGCAGAGAGAGGGAGAGAGAACAATCTACCTCTTTATTTTTGGTGGTGATTCATTTCTTTCCCACCTTTCTTTAATTTTTGGCTTCCTTTGTTATACAGGATGCTCCCAAAGCATTTCCATGGCATCCATTGTTCTTACAAGCTATCTATGGTTGCATTCCTACCTTCCCACCTACCTACCCACCCACATCCAGTCTTTTCCTTTCTCTGCCAGGGAACAAACATGACCAGCTATGTGCAGCCCACATCCTGCAGATCAGAGCAAGCAAGACTGAGGAGGGATGCCATGTGTGTAGAGTGGGTTTGCGGACCATTACACTATGGAGATGTCGCAAGATGACAGATGCGGATGGAGTGTTCAGTCTCCAACCCACAGACTGGGCAAAGGGCTGCCCTCAAAACCTGTGCCTTGTGATTATTTGAAATTGGCTCCTATGGGTTTTGTATACCAAACACACACATTTCTTGAGATTCAGCTATCAAAGCCACTCTGTGTGGACCAAATACCCACCAGGACAGACCCTTGCATAGCTCTCTCCTCAGGCCAAC